ATATAAAATCAATAGACAAACTGCAACAAATTATAATTCGTTTAAGTTGTATATACCTAAAAGCAAATTAAAGATATTTTTAAACGATGATCTCTGGCCAGATGGAGTTTCTTTTCGGCGGTTTGTACGTGATAAGTACAAAATAAAAGCCACTAAGCAAATATCTAATGAAACTTAATGGATAAGTGTAAGCTTATAAGTTTTAATTGTAAATCTGTGAAGCGTTCTATCGACGAGATTCGGACACTATGTCAATCGGCTGACATTGTAGCTCTTCAGGAAACATGGCTTCTACCAGAAGATTTACCGTTCTTGGGACAAATACACCATGATTTTGATTACACCGGGAAATCAGCCGTGGATACTTCCGTTGGTATACTGAGAGGGAGACCGTATGGCGGTGTTGCAATTTTGTGGCGTAAACATGTCTTTAAATCTATAAGTGTGATAGTGTGTGTTAGTTCGCGTCTTACTGCCATTAAAGTTAATCTAAGTGACTATTCAATAATAGTGTTCAGTATTTATATGCCTACAGATTCTGTTGAAAACCTAGTTGAATTCACACAATGTTTAGGTGAAATGAACTCAATTATCGATTCTAGTGAGTGTGGAGCTGTTTTTATGTTAGGTGACTATAATGCTCATCCGGGTGAGTCTTTTTACAATGAACTTATAGATTTTTGTGAAGAACAGGACTGGTTGTGTTCGGACACAATAAAATTAGGTATTGAATCTGGATGTTATACCTACATCAGTGAGGCGCACGGGTGTAGGCGGTGGCTAGACCATTGTGTTGTAACACAGTCTGCTTTTAACACTATCGCTAATGTTGATGTGATATATGATGTTTTTTGGTCTGATCATTTTCCCATTATCTTAACTTGTAACTTGAATATCATTAAATCGACGGTACGTCCAAACAATGCTAGTTATAGTAAAGTAATATGGAGTGAGAGGGATGTTGATCAGATTAAGGAATATTCTCAACTCTGTTATATTAAGCTACGGCAAATAGATTATCCTCAACATTTTGAGATGTGTGGTGATACACACTGTAAAAATTTGGAGCACTTGCGACCAATCGATGACATGTATATGAGTATTGTAAATGTTCTATCTGATGCAGCCAAGCAGACATATAATATTAGGCGTCGTTGAAATAAATATCGACAGATAACGGGCTGGAATAAATACGTACGAGAGGCTCACAGACAGGCCAGGCTTAAATATCAGATCTGGCTCTCCTATAATAAACCAACATCTGGACTCGTGTACAATGAAATGTCTTTAAGTCGTAAAATATTTAAAAGCAAACTGAAATGGTGTCAGAGACATCAGGAAAAAATAAAGTCAGACATTTTGGCATCTCATCATAAAAATAATAATTTTAAGAAATTTTGGATGGCCACCAACAAATTCAATATTAAGCCTGGCCTGCCAGTTAGTGTCGGGGGTGTTGATGAACCGGTGTCGATTGCAAACATGTTTGTGACTCATTTTAAGTCCGAATCGCCCTTAGGTGCGTCGCTGGGGATTATGGGGCCTGTTGTGATACTGATCTCATTCGTTTCACTCCTAAGCAAGTGCGTGACGTGATAAAACGAATGTCAAAAGGTAAATCACCGGGTCACGACGGTCTCAGCATCGAGCATTTGCAGCACGCAGGTCCTCACTTCGCTAGGGTCTTGGCTATGTTGTTGTCTCTTTGCATGTGTCATTCCTACCTTCCCAGTGAACTCATGCGTACAGTAGTTGTACCTATTGTTAAAAACAAAACCGGAGATACGAGCGACAAAGGTAACTATAGACCCATCTCGCTGGCCACGATTATGGCCAAGGTACTGGATAGTTTGTTGGATTGTCGTCTTAATAAGTATATACACATACATGATGCTCAGTTTGGCTTTCGGTCAGGACTTTCGACAGAGAATGCAATCCTAGCTTTAAAGCACACGGTGCATTATTATACCAAAAGAAGGACTCCTGTCTACGCCTGTTTTCTTGACCTGTCTCGTGCTTTTGACCTCGTATCTTACGATGTGCTGTGGACTAAGTTACGGGACATCGGTGTACCGGCGGAATTGTTGCGGATCTTACAATATTGGTACTATAATCAGGAGAATAATGTGAGATGGGGTAACGCGCTTTCAGACTCATTCAAGTTGGAGTGTGGGGTGAGGCAGGGTGGTATGTCCTCTCCTCAACTTTTTAATCTTTATATCAACGACCTGATCGTTGGGCTCAGCAGCATGAAATTGGGGTGTCGCATTGATGATGTAAGTGTTAATAATATCAGTTACGCTGATGATATGGTGTTGCTGAGCCCGACGGTGAGGGCGTTGAGAAAGCTTTTACTGATGTGTGAACGCTACGCGGTTACGCATGGTCTCATATACAATGTTAAAAAAAGCGAATATCTTGTGTTTGGGGCTGCCGGTAGTAAATGTCCATCCTATGTACCTAAAATTTGTCTGAATGGTACGGAACTCCAACGTGTATACCGATTTAAATATCTCGGACATTACGTGACCGATAGCCTTAGAGACGAGGTTGACCGATAGCCTTAGTGACGAGCGCAGGGCGTTGGCAGTGCGCTGTAACATGCTGGCTCGTAGATTCTCCCACTGTAGTATTCCAGTCAAATTAACACTTTTTCGAGCTTATTGTCAAGTGTTCTATACGAGCAGCATATGGACCAATTATAGTCAGCGCGCTCTTAATACACTGCGTATCCAATATAACAATGCTTTTAGAGTACTGTTGGGGCTGTCTCGTTTCTGCAGTGCGTCAGGTATGTTTGCACAAATGCAGATAGATGATTTCTACTCTATCATGAGAAAGAAAAGTGCTTCGTTGCTCTTCAGAGTGCGTGACAGCTGCAATTCTATTCTTCAAGTCATAGGAGGACGATACGATTCTCCTATTGTAGTACATTGTGTCCGGAGATGTATTACTGGCACAAAATTAGTTTCTAAGTAATTTTAATCGATACTAACACTAGATTTTAAGTGTATTTTGTGTAAAACTAACAAAAAATATGGATTCCCTAATGTTGTCCGAAATAAAAATTATTATTATTATAACACACGCAAGTAAAATAATGCTACATAGTATAAACCAGCGACATTTACACTGAGCTTATAATGCGAATCACTCTGGAAAACTGGACTGATGGTGTTGTAATTGTTTGATATCAGATATGAAACTTGCGATATGCAGATGACACCACCTTATTTGCAAGTAACGTGGACCTCATGGAAGAATTACTTCACAAAATGAAGCGCATAAGCTTAACGTTTGGATTGAAGATTTAAACCAAGATCGCTCCAATAATAACTGGCCACAAGTTACAAATATTGCGAACTGTGACTTAGTCCAAGCCTATATATATCTGGGGGCCTTGATCTCGAACAATGGTGGTTGCGTAGATGAAGTTAAGCGTCGTATGGCCATAACCAGAACCGCGGTAGTGAGGTTGAGGAAAGTGTGGAAGAATCGCAACATTACCAAAGCCACTAAAGGCAGATTAATGCAAACTCTGGTGTTCCCAATTTTCCTTTATGCGGCAGAGACATGGACGGTGCGTGAGTTGGAAAAAGGAAAGATAGATGCTCTAGATATGTGGTGCTGGAGGAAGATGCTTGGCATATCATGGACAGAGTTTCATACCAACGTGTCCATACTCCAAGAACTCGGCATCACAAAGCGTCTATCTACTATAGTACAGACGCGTATACTAACGGTATTTTGACCATGTCTCTAGACGAGACAACAACTCCATAGAACGGCTAGTCGTGCAAGGAAAGGTAAAGGGAACCAGATCGCGCGGCAGATCACCTATGCGCTGCACTGATCAAATAAAATCCGCCGTGGGAGAATGTATGTCAGACTGTGCTAGACAGTCCGAAAATAGGGAAAGATGGAGGGAGATCGTAAAAAATGCTTTGTCTGCCTCTAATACTAACATGGACGCCTCGACGTGACCATGACCGCTCTGCCAAGAGCGAAACGACAGAGAAGAAGAATAGTCTATTTGGGGACTGTCATGTCTATTTTTTGTTTTTCTTATTTTAAACATGCTGTTTGTGAACTTCAGATTATTCTCTAGGGTGAACTCTACAAGTTTCTCTCCATGCTTTGATCTTTTACCATTTGAATATAGGCCGAACGCTAACTCTTCTTCTGTTTATTTATTTATTGGTTCACCGACAATTGTATCACTGACAATTTACATAGAACATTATTTTCAGATTCTAATACTTTGTAGAAGTTATTCAGCTCCTAGAATATATCCAATGATGAGCGTTCCAATTTTCAGTTGGTGAATAGGCCTGAACTATGGTTAGGACGTTTTTATTCTTCAAACTGATGCATAAGGTTGCTATTCCCTTTTGTGCTATATAAAATGTATTCCAGAAATTTATATATTTCTTCACTTCTTTTTCTTGTTTCGCATATCCCTATTATGTCCTAATTCAGTTTATATGTAGCGTATTCTAGTTATATCCTTCTATAGTCGGACATTAACGTCCGTACATTCAAATTAGTAATGTACCTATACATAGGATTTACCGATCTTCCGTTTTTTATCTGGGGACAGCTGCCCTGCCTCTCTTTGTCGCTTATTATATATATCTATAAGAGATTACCAGATAATTATCAAATTCAAAAAGCAATATCAAAAATGTTTACTCAATTTAGCCTTTTACAGAACACTTGTAAAAGTCGAAAACGTCGGTTTCGGTTATGGTTTTTACATACATTTCGAAATATTAAATCAAATTTTCATTAAATTCGTTTGAAATTTATATAAATTTATTATTAAAAGTTTTAATAATGAAATTTAATATCCTTATGTTATTTTTTAAAGATAATTTTTAAACTTCCAAACTACCAATATCAACAATAACTGCGTGACCCGAAACGTGAATGCAAAATCTGCCAAACAAACCAGTTGTTTACATGTTACGTCAATGTCATTTTTGACGGAATGTAATAACAGTGGAACGAGAACCCTTATTTATCTTTTATGCAAGGAACTTCCTTCAAACTTTTATCAGTGCAAGCTTTATATTATAAATTGAGATAATAAGAAATAGAATTTAGTATAATAGTGGTATACAAACAGATTATTTTCCGGTGTTTCCAGTACAAAGTTCCAGTATATCTGTGATTTCCATAACACCTTTCAATAACGCGGGAAATTTGCCAAACAAAATCAAAGAAACAAAAATGCATAGTTCTTATGAATTATCCGATGACGATGATAGTTTTTCATTACCAAAATGTCCTGGAAAACCAGAAAGTCCATTAGATAACAATACAAATACAGTTATCTTAAGCAGTGATGAAGAAATTGAAAACAACCCGGCTGAGAGATCTTATTCGACAAACTCTGTGATATGTGTAAGTATTATACTATTTTAATATAAACTATTGGTACAGTGCTTTGGGGTAATACTGAAAGAAAGGAAATTCCGAAAATGACGAATTACCACTAAATAAGGCATTGTTATTCCATCAACTGTTGATGAAGTTGTCAAATAAAAAAGCTTTTAATAGATTAAAATACTAAAAATTAAGTTGAACAAACATATTACTTGTTTAATGTCATGTTGAATTTTACCCGCATTTGTGGTTACTGCAAAGTATTTTAAATACAAATTACCAACTAATCTAACTTCACAAAGCAAGATTCTATCAAAAACAAAGTTAGTACCCCAAAACTATACCTTAAATACAAATAAATATATACTTACGTTAAATATTATATTCCAAACTACATCATTTGTTATGCCAATGATTTTATATTAATTAGAATCATTACATAAACTTACTAATTCTTAACAGGATCTTACATCAGATGAAGACGAGCTACCTGAAGTTATTGTAAATAGTAAGAAAGGCAAAAATTCAGAAGCAAGAACAAATATTATAAAGAGACTATTTCCTGTATCAGAAAAGCGAGACAAATTGCTGACTAATGTTTCAAACTTAATGCCGTCGAGTTCAAGAACACTCCCCAAAGAACCTGGTATCGATAAAATGATTGGTGGTGTTTCTGTTAATATGCCAGTTGAACCATATGGATGTCAAATCGCTTTAATGTCCAAAGTAAGTACTTATAATACTTTTTTAAGTTGGTTATCAACTTGTGTTTTGCGATCATGTTGTAATGATGCCGAATTCATATAACCACTTGAATGTTCAAATTGCTAACTGTCATCCCTTAGAAACATTAAACTAAGTATGATCTCAGATATGTCACATGGACTTGTCAAGCGATATTTAAGTTACAGGCATAAAACAAAAAGAAAATGAAAATCACTCTAAAGAGTTTAACAACTTTTGTACCAATTATATTAAATATATAATTGTTATTATATAATGTTTAACAGTCCACTAAAACTTATATCTTTTTCAATCTATTTAAGGTAATAACAGCTATAAAGAATGGGAAAAACTGTTTACTTGAAAGTCCGACTGGCTCAGGGAAGACATTAGCATTGCTGTGCAGCGCATTAGCTTGGCAGAGGTGCGAAAGAGGTAAGTGCCTTAAATACAACAAATACCTATCATTATAATGGAAAGGAAAGTCAACATGAAACAATAATAGCCAAGTGTGTCAGCCAGACAGAGGAGTTGATGGCTGTCTATGATATGTTTGTTAAGCAACTTTCGCAAGGGCCAGTCATAGGATGGGTGACCAAAAGTATATTATTTTGAGCTCCTACGTGCTTCAGAAAGCACATTAAATCGTTGGTCAAGGCTGTCTATGCAGTCTTCATATATCCGGCGAGCGTTAAAATCCACCAATCCACACTGCTGGCTAATTCTTCTAATGTTTACGTACCTAATAATTGCATCTCAATAGAATAGAATCTCTACCGATAATGAGATATTCTATAGACATATTAACATATACTCTCGAGCGTTTCTCTAATAAGTTCATTATGCTACGTGGGCTAGTTTGAAAATCTAACGTCGTGGCATAATTGAGTGGGAATGTTTCGTCTTATTGCTGTTATAACCGATTTCGAAACCTTTGAACTTCTATCATATGCCTATTGCTGTATTTTTTGTCATTTATATAATTGAATCGAAACGACTTTGTCATCGCTAGTTACATAGCAAAGTGCAAATTTCTTAGCGGTAACGCCTATCGACGACAAGTGTTCGCGTGCTCCGAACGACCAACAGTCACGTATAAATCATTGAACGACTGTCGCACGACAATCGCCAACGGCCTAACACGAAAATTGCGCTTCACCAATACTGAATGCATTAGTCGCATGCAACCTGCTTCATCACGGAAAAGGGCGTAGCTGGCATTTAGTTGTAGTAATAACTTTATTCATAGATAATTTTCGTTTATATTTAATTTCTGAAGTTATTCCGAACTCCTCAAAACTTTAAAAATTTTACAATTGTTTACACTAGGTTTGCCAACCGTTTCGGAGCAGGGTCCAGAGGTTCGAATGGAAGGGGAACGGGGTTGCGTATTAACGCATCCCTTCCTTCTGCTGAACTGCATCCTCTGGGTGGCACCCCCAGTCATCACCGCTTAGTGGACGGTTCACTGTCTGAGAAAAGACTGTTATGTACCTGACTGTTTTCCTTCCCGCTGACGGCGACCTCCCCACCAGGAGTCGTAACGTAGGGTCTGAGAGTGCATCAATCCCTTCTGGATCCCACGCCCTTCCCCCATAATGAGACGGCATTAGAGGAGGTTTAGTGGGTATGCCAATCACGTTTTCACGAGCCTTCGGGTGGATCCGTGTGGATAATGAGTATTACACATCGTCTGTTAAGCGACAGACACAATCTACAAAGCAAAAAAAATGTCTCGTGTGTAGCCCGGATTTTAAGTATAAGGTGCATTTCCCCTGCGTAATCAGAAAAAGGGTTACCAACCGTCCTGTTATCCCAAGGCACGTATGGTTTTGTAGTATCCTGGGATGTATTGGATTTTAATAAATCTCTGATAAAGTCTTGTAAAAATACAGGCTCCGCTATTCTCTCATGGCGAAACAAGTAGCCACAGGCAACTTGCTGTTTGAAATCAAACTGAAAACTGTTGAGGATAAGTGGTATACGTGATATTAGCACAATTTCACCTGTACTACAACCGGCCAGAAACACTGCCATAACCTTAAGCCTGGTTCCATTGCAAAATTCCGACGGAGAATGGTTTCTCATTAGCATTATGTATACACCGACTTTGAACTTGATTTTGTGAGCAGATAGACCACTTGTAGTAAGTGAATAAAAAAATTCATCCAGGTAATTTGTAACATCATCCTGGGCAATGTCATTATTATAAGAATTATAAACTACTTCATCCACAACAAGAATCCTCACCAGCCCTTTTACGTCCCCACTGCAGGGGCTCAGGCCTTCCTTATGGATGGTTAAGGAGGATGGGCCATGACCCTCCACGCTGGCCCAATGTGGATTGGAGGGTATTAACGACTGCAAATGCAGCCGGGACCAACGGCTTAACGTGCCTTCCGAAGCACGGAGTAGCTCGAGATAATAATTTTTTGGTCACCCATCCCGTGACCGACCCTTGCGAAAGTTACTTAACGATTACGATTGCGGGCCGCGGCGCTTATCCACTACGCCACCGAGCTACTTATACCAATATCGGCAGTGTATAAAGCGATATAATTTGACTTTTTAAAATTATTATGTATGTTAATTCCCATATAATCATCTACTATACATTATGAAGAGACCTGTGCCTCAATTGGCTGTGTGTACATCTCGCTCATTTCTTATTTTTGATATCTCTAATATTGTTGAAACAAACTGAGTTGAAATTTTCACATACGTTCTCTGATTTTCGACACAAAACAGTAATGTGGGTTTACACCGAAACTTGTACACTCGAGCGAGACGCCGGCGTACACCAAAATATTTCGTCACGAACTACTTCGGCAACTCGATAAATTACGTCATTACATCGACTGTACCTACGTGAAGAATATCTAGAAACTTGTCGGATTTCAAAGTCCAACTGAAAAGTACATGCCGCTTTTATGAAAGTTTTAGAAGGTGACTTGTGTAATCGTGGTTGGGAAAGTTGGACAATTGGTCGATTATTGTTTATTCTTTCATTGCAAAACCAATAGACTGCCGATCGACGTAACCCCGGTTGAAACACATTACGGGCATCACTAAAAATACTCTTAAAAATTGGTTAGGAATTGAAAAACATGAAAGAAAATATCTACTTATATTATTAATGCGAAAATAACCATCTGTCTGTTACAAGTGTCACACTTAAACTAATCTTGGGAAAGGACTTTAGTGGTGAAGGATTCACGGAGGAAATAAATGACGAAAGTTCGTATGAAAAGTCGTCATTGAAAGTAAAGCGGTGAAATCCCCTAGACAATCATACCCGCGGGCAAGTCTGCAGCATACTCAACGGACCTAACTGTTTGTTATAGGCCTGTGTAATGTTTTCTAGTGTAGGACTGTATTCCTCACATAACTGCGTGACCTGCACGAAGTCGCAGGCAAAAGTAAATATAATGTATTAAATGTATGAATGATTAAAGATTACGATTACAACATGACATCCTCAATGCGGGCTTTTTGAGCACCTCTACTTTGGTTTTATGGTTTACTTAGGTTTGGGCATTGATAAATCAACCTGAGTCCTTTTTTTCTATAGGCAAAAATCGACTTCAAAAAATCGTAATAAAGAGAAACGACTGAAAAGAGAAAAATAATACCATAAATTTTTATCTTCAATAAACCAAAACCGTAACACAAATTAGATACAACCAAGAATCATAGCAATCCGACGTCTAGTTTGCGAGATATCCGTAGAGAAATATACAGCCATACATACGTACATCTATAAAATTTTGCACACGTGTTTAGAATAGTGTTGCCCAAATTGAGTCTTGGTCTTGCAGTCTTGGTCTTGGTCTTGCATTTTTGCAAGACCAACACCAAGAACAAGACCGCGTATTTTTAGCAAGACCAAGACCAAGACTGACCATGCAAGACTTGAGCAAGAACAAGACTAATCCCGCAAGACTCTTGCGTCTTGCAGCTAGGACTTAGCGCTATTTCACGGAGTAGTTAGGAATAACAGTTCGGTGTATAGGTACGCTTAGGAATTCTATGAGACGCAAAAAACTGTATCAAAGAATATGAAAAACTGAACCTATGCGCATTACGACCAATACCTACCATAAGCATACATAGCAAATAAAAAAATATCCATTAAAATCAAACAGAGTGCATGCTTAGTTTTGTTTTAACCATCGACACTTTGATAATGCGGCATCAAAGGTTTTGTACTGACTTCTCAAAGAAATTTGCCGCTTTTCGGAAGTACATGGTGATGATACACGCGGCGGTGGCTTCTTTTGAAATCACATACAACAATTGGTGCCGCCGCGCCGAAATCACAACATTTGACACTAATTGATTGCCGCCACACGGCCTAGGTATAGTTTTAAGAGCACAGGTGTTCCAAAGAATAAATAAGTTTCAGTGTGCTTAGAATCGAAACGAACACATTATACTGATCACGCATGTAGTATTATGATTAGATTTACTTATTTATTCTAGTAAGTATATATTATAATATTGATTATATGGGTTTAAACTAATTACTTAGGTTCTATTATTGTACATTTAGTCAAAATATTTCTCAAATTTCTAAATTTTTTACAAGAAAAAATAGCAAAAAAGTGGTCAAATATCACCCGTTCGATAAATATTGTAGCCACTTTTAAACATACTTGAAACGTGTAAAAAAATCTACAAAACTAATAAAATAGTATAAAAAGCGTACCTACCTACTTTTAAAATAAAAAGCCTGCGATAGGATTTTTGTATTGCTTGAGCCCGAATATCTCTGAGGGAGATGATGAGAGTAAGTATTTACTAGCAGTGCCCGCGACTTCGTCCACGAGGAATAGTAACTTTGAAGGTATAGTGAGTTTCAGGATTTATTTTTTTATTTTAAAACTTCTGTCATCAAACATACAAACAAACGCATCAGCTTTATAATTTTAGAATAGATGTACGACAAAATATTCACTTAAAACATATCAAATATTGCTGACTCGCGTACATCTGTAACAAAGTTACGCAGTATTTCCAGTAAAATAAAAAGAAGTGAAATAGTGAAGAAGAAGTTTCAGTCTGCTTGTGAAGCAGCTGGCGTGCCATCAAATCCTAATTTCATTCTTGACTGTCCAACGAGATGGAATTCCACACATGATATGATTGGATTTGGTTTAAAAGTGAGTGCGGGCATTAACATATTGTGCAGTTCTGTCACCGAATTGAATGATTTTCAAATCACAGCTAGTGAATGGCAAATACTCGAAAAAATGCATAAGTTTCTAATAAACTTTAAACTTTTAAGTACAAAACTTGGTGGAGAAAAATATGTTACATTACCGCTAGTCATTGTATCATTCAATCTCTTGCTCGATAAAATTGAATCCATGGTAAAACAGTTAGATGAGAAACCTAATCGATCTGAAGTGGATGAAAGTCTCATTCTGGCTTTC